CACATGGTACCTAATTTTTCCACATGGTACCTAATTTTTCCACTGGTACCTAAATTTTTTCCCCATGGTACCTAATTTTTCCACATGGTACCTAATTTTTTTCCCCATGGTACCTAATTTTTCCACATGGTACCTAATTTTTCCACATGGTACCAAATTTTTCCACATGGTACCTAATTTTTCCACATGGTACCTAATTTTTCCACATGGTTGACCAGGCTAGCGCCAGACGAGCCTGGCCCATGGCCGTGCTCTGAGAGTAGTAAGACTCTCGAAACTCATCACAGGTAAAGTTAGTACCTTTTACTAACTACCTTTTCAAAGCCTACATGTGGCGCCACTAGTACGCTCAGAGACAATAGAATAAGTGTCAGGGGCCCAAGACTGTTCAGCTGTCTCCTAGTATACATAAGGGGGATTACCAATAGACCCCTGGCTGTCTTCAAAACCCATGGCTATCTTCAAGATCCATGGCTGTCTTCAAAAGGGAGCTGGACAGACACCTGAAATCAGTACCAGATCAGCCGGGCTGTGGTTCGTGCGTTTTCTTACGTGAGACCAGCAGTAACAGCGTTGTTGATCAGGCCCTGATCCACCGCGAGGCCTGGTCATTGACCCCCGATACCCCGCAGGACTTAAATAGGCCTAGGGTGGTTGCGTGAGCTACATTTGTCACTATCTTAACGCTTAAACTGTCCGAACGCAGATCTACGTTCAGTTTTATATTCTTTCTTATGAGAGATTAGTCGAGTCAATTTGAAGAGAAGTGAGGAGAAGTGAGGAGAAGTGAGGAGAAGTGAGGAGAAGGGTAAGTGAGGAATAAGAGAACTGAGAGCAAAATGTTAAAAGAATACAATGAAGAGATTGTGATATGAAAAGAGAGAGAAGTATTACAAACACAAGTTTATTCTAGTGGCCTGCACACCTGGCTGTAGCACAACCGAGTTAGGAACGCGCAAAAGGCAGCAGAGTAAATGCTTATGTTTCCTTAACCAAAGAACAAGCAGTGTATGTGCAATATATACTAAGAATATGAACAACTCAACTGCCAGCAAGACACACGGTGAGAACCGTAGTGACCAGACTTACAACTGCCAGCAAGACACACCGTGAGAACCATAACAACCAGACTTACAACTGCCAGCAAGACACACGGTGAGAACCGTAGGGACCAGACTTACAACTGCCAGCAAGACACACGGTGAGAACCGTAGGGACCAGACTTACAACTGCCAGCAAGACACACGGTGAGAACCGTAGGGACCAGACTTACAACTGCCAGCAAGACACACAGTGAGAACCGTAACGACCAGACTTACAACTGCCAGCAAGACACACAGTGAGAACCGTAACGACCAGACTTACAACTGCCAGCAAGACACACAGTGGAGAACCGTAACAAAACCCGACTTACAACTGCCAGCAAGACACACAGTGAGAACCATAACAACCAGACTTACAACTGCCAGCAAGACACACAGTGAGAACCGTAACAACCAGACTTACAACTGCCAGCAAGACACACAGTGAGAACCATAACAACCAGACTTACAACTGCCAGCAAGACACACAGTGAGAACCATAACAACCAGACTTACAACTGCCAGCAAGACACACAGTGAGAACCGTAACAACCAGACTTACAACTGCCAGCAAGAGACACTTGGAGAACCGTAACAACCAGACTTACAACTGCCAGTAAGAGACACTTGGAGAACCGTAACAACCAGACTTAAAAACTTCCAGTAAGAGACACTTGGAGAACCGTAACAACCAGACTTACAACTGCCAGTAAGAGACACTTGGAGAACCGTAACAACCAGACTTACAACTGCCAGTAAGAGACACTTGGAGAACCGTAAAAAACCAGACTTACAACTGCCAGTAAGAGACACTTGGAGAACCGTAACAACCAGACTTACAACTGCCAGTAAGAGACACTTGGAGAACCGTAACAACCAGACTTACAACTGCCGGTAAGACACACTTGGAGAACCGTAACAACCAGACTTACAACTGCCAGCAAGACACATTGTGAGAACCGTAACAACCAGACTTACAACTGCCAGCAAGATACATTGTGAGAACCATAACAACCAGACTTACAACTGCCAGCAAGACACACGGTGAGAACCGTAGTGACCAGACTTACAACTGCCAGCAAGACACACGGTGAGAACCGTAGTGACCAGACTTACAACTGCCAACAAGACACACGGTGAGAACCGTAACAACCAGACTTACAACTGCCAGCAAGACACATGGTGAGAACCGTAGTGACCAGACTTACAACTGCCAGCAAGACACACGGTGAGAACCGTAACAACCAGACTTACAACTACCAGCAAGGCACACGGTGAGAACCGTAACAACCAGACTTACAACTGCCAGCAAGACACACGGTGAGAACCGTAACAGCCAGACTTACAACTGCCAGCAAGACACACGGTGAGAACCGTAACGACCAGACTTACAGCTACCAGCAAGACACACAGTGAGAACCATAACAACCAGACTTACAGCTACCAGCAAGACACACAGTGAGAACCGTGACAATCAGACTTACAACTGCCAGCAAGACACACGGTGAGAACCGTAACAACCAGACTTACAACTGCCAGCAAGACACACGGTGAGAACCGTAGCGACCAGACTTACAACTGCCAGCAAGGCACAGGGTGAGAACCGTAACAACCAGACTTACAATTGCCAGCAAGACACACAGTGAGAACCGTAACAACCAGACTTACAACTGCCAGCAAGGCACACGGTGAGAACCGTAACAACCAGACTTAAAACTGTCAGTAAGACATGGTGAGAACCGTAACAACCAGACTTACAACTGCCAGCAAGACACACGGTGAGAACCGTAACAACCAGACTTACAACTACCAGCAAGACACACGGTGAGAACCGTAGCAACCAAACATGGTGGTAAATCTGCCAAGGATGATTCACGTGTGTGCCGCATCACTTAACATCTTAAGCAAGCTTGTAATTGTCAAGTTGAAGCAAGGTACTGGCATAACAAGGGGGCTCTTACTCATTACACCCTCCACACCTAGTTCACTGGTTGGGAAGGAATGCCTATATGGGTGTGTGACATAGGCCGAATAAGATGTAATTTTTAACATGACACAAGAAGATAGTGGTGAAACAGAAGAGGAGAAGTGGTAGAGGTGAGATAACAGGATGACGGGGCTAATGGCTACCAATTTTCACTAGAGTTGAAGTCTGCATTTTCTCCTCATCCCCTTCCTCCTCCTCCTCCTCCTCCTCGTAGCCTGTACAAGAACTGCAAATAGTGTAAAATAATGGTAAATCTCTGCAAAAGTTGAATATTTGTGGGTCAGTTGAAGGAAGATTGAAGGAGTACCACCAGGTCACCTTTGTTTACACCAGGAAACATCAAGAATTGTCCAAATATACTTTCCCAACCACCTTCCTGGTTTGTGTGTGTGTGTGTGTGTGTGTGTGTGTGTGTGTGTGTGTGTGTGTGTGTGTGTGTGTGTGTGTGTGTGTGTGTGTGTAACATGGGGTCCACCTCTAATGCAAATTGTGAGGATCCATAACCTCGGAGCAATAAATAAGAAAAAGAGTATTTATATTTGCCCATTTCCACCACCACTCCATCCTTCATAAATACACAGATAATTATATTGTACCATGTAACATGGTATACAGAAGTCAAAGAATACATTGGTATTTTAGTATTCTATACGTGATGTTTGAGAGATCGACTAACCGTCAACTTTGTTGGTGAGGATAGAGGCATCAAGGCTAGGTACAGCACCAGTGTGGATAGTCTGAGGGTCGGTACAAGTGCCAAAGGAGGAATATTGGACAGCCAACAGGAAATTCCCGGCATGAGGAGCTCTCACTGCCAGTGATTTGGACATGTAGGCAAGACACATGCGAGCACTTGTGTAAACACAATCATGCATTTTCCAAGACACAATCATTCACTTGTCTTTGCCTACTGCTGTTGGTGCAGGCTCTCACCTCTGTTTCAAAATGTCCTCAAGAATATGTGGACTCTGAAGCACACAAAAGAGAGCCTTAGTTAAACCATAGAGTACAGTTGTTACCTTTATTTACAAGACGGAAGAAAAGTACCAATCTATCTTGTTGACAGTGGTACAAAATAGCGAGAAGCTGGCGATTAAGACACATGTACAACAGTTGGGTAATCAGTCCATCAACCAACAGATAATGTAATCAGTCTATCAACCAGAAGTATTTCGAGCAAATTAAGTCAACTTTATCCCAGGATGCGACTCACACCAGTCAACTAACACACAGGTACCTACTTACTGCTAGGTGAACATGGACAGCAGGTGTCTTAAGGAAACACGTCCTAATGTTACCAGCCGTACCGGGGATCGAACCTCGGACCTCAGTGTGTGAGCTGAGTGCCCTACCAATCGAGCTACGGGATTATATAGGGATGTATTAGGGAGGGAGGTAGGGAAATAGGGAGGAGCAGAGGGAACTAAAGGAAGGGGGAAAGAGAGATGAAGGGATTTGGGTTGAGGGGAGGGGGAGGGGGAATTATTTTGTTAGTGAGGGGGAGGGGTAGGAGGAGGGGGCTGCTGACCCTTGTTATAAGGAACTTCCTCACTGTTGCTCTACATGTTGCAGCTACGGTGTTGCTGCAACGAATATATATTAAGTTGCAGCAATTATTTACGATTCTTTGTAGTTCTTGAGATGATACTTGGGTTGAGAGATGTTTCGGGTCACTATTGATGCTATCTTCAGAGCTGTTTAAGTATGTGTTGTCGTATTTAATTAAAACAAATTGCAATTGCAAAATTAATTACCTGTCGTAGTTGCTTTTTGACATCTTGAAATATCAGAAATTTATAAATTTTAAATGAGGTTTGTGGGTGTTGGATAGGTATTTTCGTCTCACGGCTGGCAAGGGAGAAGCGTACGATAACTTGGGTGTTGTGTTGACGTTGCCAGAGCACCCACAGCATCCTTCTCCCAGCGTCTTAAGATCTCAGTTTAGCTTGAGCGACGGGGGGGTATACACGTCACTCTCGCTTCTTCCTTCACTGACTTGGCCAGCATCTTTCCGGGGACTTGTACGAAATATTTTAAGCCCAAAACGACGGAAGAACTGATGTGTGAGAGTAATACTTATGACGATTTTCTTCACCAGTGATTAATTACGGTGTAAATAAGGTTCTTTAAAATCATTATTTAGTGGGGAAAGTGTAATTACCTCGTTAGTGCTGTGATAGTCGTCTTTAACGACGACCATTAGGGTTTACCTGCGTAAGAAATAACATTGGAATTAAAAGGTACAATACCGAGACCGGAACAATACAGGTAACTAATGACTACGTTTCGCTCCGACTAGTTGATCTGACACTCAAAAGATGGAGTTGTTACTCAAGTGGTTGTTTGTGTTGGTGTTGAGTGTTAGTTACAGCTGGTCGTCCAGGGTCGTCCTGACAGACCAAGGCTACCAGGGTGTGGTAGTGGCCCTCGACGAGGGTCTTCCACTTACGATCTGCCAACAAGTTCTTGAGGGACTTCAAGTAAGTGTTACGACTGATTTTGTCTGTTCTTATCTTCAGGTGCCTGATCAACCAGGCTGTGGTGGATATGTGGGGCAGCGGGCCTCCAGCAGCAACAGCCTGGTTGACCAGGCAAGCACCAGACGAGCCTGGTCTATGGCCGGGCTCAGAGAGAAACTCTCGAAACTCATATCAAAGGTATATTTCCTAGGCAAAAAGGACACAAGTGCAACTAATGTGACATTGTGGCAACGTTTCGCTCTCCAGGAGCGAAACGTTGCCACAATAAAATGACACATAGCTTCACTTGTGTCCTTTTTACCTTAAAGGTGATATTAATGAAGTACTGAGGATGTGGAACCAGATAAGAACCAGAAATAATGGAATTAAGTTGGACAAATTTAAGTTTAGGAACGACACAGGTGAGTTGTGGATGTGTGGAACAATACTCTTCTCCAGACTGAGGGACTGACCACCTCAAAACTTCAAGGGTGATGGACTGATTACATCGTCTTCAAGTATCTTCTGCTTCTGTCAACTTTTCTGTACTCAACTGAAGAAGGCTACTGTGTAGGCGAAACGTTACGAAATACAGATACCTAACTGTTGTATATGTGTCTTACCTAACAACCGTGTGGAACAATCCGAGTAGGGTGATCGCGGCTAGGACCTTGGGAGTGGGAGGGGCTGGGTTTGGTTGCTGTCATTGGGTAGGGGTGATTTTGATAAGGACCTGCTTTGTATGGACCAGTCGGTGATTCTACCAACTATAGACAGATTGACTGGAGCAATTTGACAGGAAATTTAGAGTCAGGTGACTTTCTTGATACGATCCAGGATTGTTTTTTAAAACAGTTTGTGACAGAGCCAACTAGGGGAAATAACCTCCTTGACTTGGTTCTTGCCAGTAGGGAAACTAATTAATAATCTTGAGATTGAACATCAAAATGGTATACAATACCGACAGGTTGTTAGGTAAGACACATATGCAACAATTAGACAACTTTATTCCGAAACGTTTCGCCTACACAGTAGGCTTCTTCAGTCGAATACAGAAAGTAGGCAGGAACAGTAGAGATGTGAAGACGATGTAATCAGTCCATCACCCTTGTAGTCGTAGAATTTGAGGTTGTCAGTCCCTCGGCCTGGAGAACTTCTCCAGGCCGAGGGACTGACAACCTCAAATTCTACGACTACAAGGGTGATGGACTGATTACATCGTCTTCACATCTCTACTGTTCCTGCCTACTTTCTGTATTCGACTGAAGAAGCCTACTGTGTAGGCGAAACGTTTCGGAATAAAGTTGTCTAATTGTTGCATATGTGTCTTACCTAACAATCTTGAGATTAATGATGAGCTTGGGGAAAGTGATCACAAATCACTCAGTTTTAATATATCATGGAATTCCCCTAATAATGGCAATCGTCTCTGTCCCTGACTTTCGCTTGGCTGATTTCAGGACTGAAAAATTACTTAGGTGGGCTGAACTGGAATGACCTGACTAAGGGTCAGGTAGGTGGTGATGGATGCCGATATGACGCTTTCCAGGGCATAGTTCTAGCTGCTCAGTCAAATTATGTTCCAAATAGGGAAAGCAGATCAACACAAAAATGATCCTAAATGGATGAACAATAGATTAAAATATCTGATTGGTCAAAAGAGAGGCATATATAGGCAAATCAAAAGAGGAGAGGGGCAATTAAGAAATCGATATATTCAGTTATAGATAGAAATAAAAAAGGTAATTAGAAAAGCAAAAAGAGATTATGAGGTTAAAGTTGCAAGAGAATCGAAGACTAATCCAAAAGGATTCTTTCAGGTATACAGAAGTAAGATCAGGGACAAGATAGGCCCACTCAAAAGTTCCTCGGGTCAGCTCACTGACAGTAATAAGGAAATGTGTAGAATTTTGAACACATACTTCCTCTCAGTTTTTACATAGGAGGATACCAGCGATATTCCAGTAATGATAAATTATGTAGAACAGGACGATAATAAACTGTGCACTATTAGGGTCACAAGTGACATGGTCCTTAGGCAAATAGATAAATTAAAACCTAACAAATCCCCAGGCCCTGATGAACTGTATGCAAGGGTTCTAAAGGAATGTAAAGAGGAGCTTAGCAAACCTTACGGCCCTATGCTGTACATTCTACAAGATTGATGGACTGAACACATCGACTCCAGGCTGAGGGACTGATTACCTCATACTACTCCTCTCCTTACGCCTTTCTCTTTGTATTGGACTGATGAAGCCACTGTGTGGCGAAACGTTTCCTGAATAAAGATTCCCATATGCTGCATGTCTCAATCTTCAACTTGTCGGTTTTTCAAACCATTCATCACAACTGTCAGACACTGCAGCATCATGGGATCTTGTTACAAAGAATTCTTCAACACTTGTTCAACCTTTGGACAAAGACCTACTTCGACTAGTGGATGGTACCACTATGACCCCGCCTCCGCCTGCTTCACCTCACCTCACTACAGTATATAAGCCACGTCTACGGCCCTATGCTGTACATTCTACAAGATTGATGGACTGAACACATCGACTCCAGGCTGAGGGACTGATTACCTCATACTCCTCCTCTCCTTACGCCTTCCTCTTTGTATTGGACTGATGAAGCCACTGTGTGGCGAAACGTTTCCTGAATAAAGATTCCCATATGCTGCATAAGTGTCTCAATCATCAGAAACCTTCCCTATGAGGATAGACTAAGGGCCCTGAATCTGCACTCTCTAGAAAGACGTAGAATTAGGGGGGATATGACTGAAGTGTATAAATGGAAAACAGGAATAAATAAAGGGGATGTAAATAGTGAGCTGAAAATATCTAGCCTAGACAGGACTCGTAGCAATGGTTTTAAGTTGGAAAAATTCAGATTCAGGAAGGATATAGGAAAGCACTGGTTTGGTAATAGAGTTGTGGATGAGTGGCACAAACTCCCAAGTACCGTTATAGAGGCTAAAACGTTGTGTAGTTTTAAAAATGGGTTAGATAAATGGAAATAAATGGTATAAGTGGGTGTGAGTTGGAGCTGATTAGCTTGTGCTACTAGGTCAGTTGCTGTGTTCCTCCCTTAAGTCAATGTGACCTGACCTGACTAGGTTGGGTGCATTGGCTTAAGCCGATAGGAGACTTGGACCTGCCTCGCATGGACAAGTAGGCCTTCTGCAGTGTTCCTTCGTTCTTATGTTAAGGAGAGGATGAGTTTGAGGTAATCAGTCCCTCAGCCTGGAGTCGATGTGTTCAGTCCATCAATCTTGTAGAATGCTATGACCCCGCCTCCTCCTGCTTCCCCTCGCCTGACTACTTCGACTAGTGGATGGTACCACTATGACCCCGCCTCCTCCTGCTTCCCCTCGCCTGACTACTTTGACTAGTGGATGGTACCACTATGACCCCGCCTCCTCCTGCTTCCCCTCACCTGACTACTTCGACTAGTGGATATTACCACTATGACCCCCCCCCCCCCCGCCTCCTGCTTCACCTCACCTGACTACAGTACATAAGCCACGTCTACTGCCCTATGTTGTACATTCTACAAAATTTATGGACTGAACACATCGACTCCAGGCTGAAGGACTGATTGCCTTCCTGTTTTGTATAAGACTGATGAAGCCACTGTGTGGTGGAACGTTTCCTCAATAAAGACTCCCATATGTTGCTTAAGTGTCTCAATTCTTCAAGGAAACACGTCGTAATGTTTCCACCTGTACCGGGGATCGAACCACGGACCTCAGTATGTGAGCTGAGTGCTCTACCAACCCAGCTACGGGAGACGGCCACTGTCCAGCATATAGAGTGAAAAGCAGAAACAGTGGAGATAAATACGAGGTGACAGATTAGACACATGTGAAACTCTTGGGTATCTTTACTGTGGAAACGTTTCACCAATCAGTGCCTTCCTCATAACGTAAGAAGGAAGGAACACTGCAGCAGGCCTACTGGCCCATGCGAGGCAGGTCCAAGTCTCCTACCTAGTCAGGTCAGATTACATTCACTTAAGGAACACGGCAACTTACCTAGCAGCACAAGCTAGTCAGGTCCAACTCACACCCTCTCATGTATTTATCTAACTTGTTTTTAAAACTGCACAACGTTTTAGCCTCTATAACTGCTCCCTCTTGAAAACAACCAGGGATCTATTGGTAATTCCCCTTATGGGTGGTGGAAGGCTGTTGAACAGTCTTGGGCCCCGGACACTTGTTGTGGTTTCTCTTAGTGAGGGCACTAAGTTAAGCTGCACTACCAAGAGGGAGTTTCGGGGGGCAACGCCCCCGTGCCAAGGTCCATGACCAGGCCTCATATGTTTGACTTTTTTGAGTTAACCCATCGGAATTAATATAAAAAAAGTCTTGCACACCGGATGTACATCTGGCCGAGCCTGCTGGGCCTGTGGCCAGCTACACCACCGCACAACACTCCTCATTAACTTAAAAACATTGTTGTTTTAAGAGTTATGTCCAGACTGGAACCACAGTGACCAAATCATTCTCTTAAATCCGTTTCCTGCCCCTAAACCAACCCAAAATTTCAATGGGAACACTAACGAATACATTATTATCTCCAATGGTTTCTTCAAGCTTATCTAATGTTTTATTACATCCTCTTTCGTGTCTTCTTTATCCCGGGTTCGGTTTCTTTTTCTCTGTTATTGTCTCGACCTTTTTTTTACCGGTCGTCGGTGTGGGCCGGTCATATACTCTGAACCTGACCGTTGGGGTGTGAACATAAGAAAGAAAGAACACTGCAGCAGGCCTACTGGCCCATGCGAGGCAGGTCTAAGTTTCCTACCGGCATAAGCCAATGCCCCAACCTAGTCAGGTCAGGTCACATTCACTTAAGGAGGGAACACAGCAACTGACCTAGTAGCACAAGCTAATCAGGTCCAACTCACACCCACTTATACCATTTATTTCCATTTATCTAACCCATTTTTAAAACTACACAACGTTTTAGCCTCTAAAACTGTACTTGGGAGTTTGTTCCACTCATCCACAACTCTATTACCAA